GCTTGTGTTGCAATCGAAACGTTGTATGCTATTATGTAATTTTATTTTTTCTTATTTCTACGTGACTTTACCAAAAAAACCAAAGAGTAATTCCTGCAGTCACGAAAGCGCCAAATCGAGTTAGGGTCCTACTATGTGTAATCTCAATTAAGTAATTCCTGCAGTCACGAAAGCGCCAAATCGAGTTAGGGTCCTACTATGTGTAATCTCAATTAAGTAATCTGCAGGTATTTTTAGCATTGGGATGTTTAGCCAATTTCTGTTACATTGTATGTTTTTAGCTATGGGAGGAAACCAGAGAATCAAGAGGAAACCCATGCAGAGCAGGTAAGAGCCTACAAACTCTACGTAGAATTGTGCCTGAGCTGGGAAACAAACTCTTTTCACTGGGGGCCCGAGTGTTACCACTGCGCCACCCTGCCGCCAAACAAAGTTAATCGTGAAGAAATCAAAGAAGCCGATACAAATCTGCTGGCACACGTGGAACTTTGCACTTTAAGTCACCCTTCATGGTCAATACTGTAAACTGCAAATGACCTGATGAGTCGCCAGAATTGCTTAATCAAAGATTTTCTTTATTCACATTTGCAATGCATGGTAACATTCAAACAATCGACATAATGTCCGTCATTACAAGTCGTGTGCATTCTTATTTTTAGTGCTCATATTGTTGATATTTATATGATTGGCGGAACCTTTTTTAAAACGAACACACGAGGGGTGGGAAAGAGAAGTGGGGGGTAGGCTAACTCATGGGAGGTGTAGGAGCTGCATGTGCTGGCTGCGGGGGGATCCCACACCGTTCACAAGCTGTGTCCCCTGGTGACACTGGACACGGGGTTTAAATGGGTTTTTTTAAAAATGGGTGCCATGTTCTTTTAAAGTTTGCCAAATAGGCTATAGCAGACATAAGGATTGGGGATCTTGGGATATCCACATATTCAGTATAGTCAGAATCAAAATCGGTAACAGAAGCTACCTAACATTTTTTGAGTAAAGATTTTTGACTTTGAAAGATATACTGGAGTTTGACAGGCAAATTTTCAATGTCCACCTTTTTCACAGGCCCTTATTTTTTATAGGCCACTTTTGATGGCATATTTTTATTGGGCCACTTTTATAAGCCACTGTTTTCAAGGAAACCCAATAAACTAACAGTAAAACCCCACAAGAAGCTGAGACAGAAAATCACGAAACTGAAAGAGAAACCCCTGAAATTAACAAGTGAACGAAAGATGAGAAATTAGCGGGGAATGAGAAAAAGTGTGAGAATGAAGAATACATGAGAATGAATTAGTCGAATGAATGACTGAGTGATAGAGATAAATACATTCATTATGGAAGAATAAGCGATTAAATGAGGAAAAAGTAAGTTAAGCAAGTGACAGTCGTTTCGTCGGTGGTCGGACAGAAATAAGAGCACATCGATGAATTAACACAAGTTATAGATATATTGACTTAAAAAGTAACTGGGCTTGTAAGAAAACAATAAGGAACGCGGGGGTGATCAAGCAAGTGAATACGTGAGTGAGCAAGAGTGTGAGAAAATGAGAAGTGAGTGAATGAGTGTGCAAATGACAAACCTGCCAGAATGAGGCAGGAGAGTTTTAGCATGTAAAGCCGTCGCTTGCTGCATGCAGGTAAATGTTCAAAAATTGATTACCAGGTGGGCCGTGGCCACATCAAACTGCAGGCGGTCAAACATCTTACACAAGGATGATAGCGTAGCAGCACCAGTGCAGATGTTGCGACCGTCCATCAAAACACTGGCGACGTATCTCGTATGGGGCAGAAGAGGATGAGGACTTTAGTTTAGGAGAGCAGTCGGATGCTGATGACTTGGGTCAAGAGTTCAAGTGTATAAACCCCCAGACTATTGTCAGGTGTGAAGGGGCTAAATCCTCTATGTTGGGATCCATATTCGCCATCAGGACTTACAAACATTTGACTGGCCACTTGTTTTTTCTATAAGAACCTTTTTTTTCAGGCCACTATAAGTGGCCACAATTTTTTATGGGCAAATTCTTTTGACTGGCCACTTTATAATTTTTCCCTGCCAGATATTCTTGACTCGCCACTTTATTATTTGATAGACCACTTTTTTTGTGGCCACTCTTTTTTTCACTGGCAACTTCATTTTGACTCGTCACTTCAATTTAATGGGCCACATTTATTTTGCTGGCCACATCCAGCTGCAGGTGGTCGCACAGCTTTAACACAAGGATGCCAACGTAGCAGCACCAGTGCAGATGAAGCGACCGTCCATCAAACCACGACTGACGAACTCGCAGGGGGTAGAAGAGTGTGAGGACATGGGGTTAGGAGAGCAGTTGGGGTGCTGATAACTTGGGTAAAGAAGTAAAGTGTACAAACCCCCGAACTATTCTTAGGTGTGAAGGGGCTAAACTCATGGTATTGGCCCATGTCTTTTTATTTTTTCTAACATGCAGACTCAAAATGCCAGCAACTAAAGCATCTCCCTGCCAAAATTAGCCAAGTATGGTGTTTATCTAATTTGCTGGTTCTGAACCTGATACCTATTCACACTCCCATGGTGAAAGATCCATCCTTCCTGTTTTACCAACAAATAACTCAACTGGAATCTATATACTCTTTGGTTCTTTCGGTAAAGTCACGTAGGTAGAAATAAAACAAAATAAATCACGACGTTTCGAACGCAACACAAGCGGTCGTCATCAGGCAAAGGAGGCAGCCTCTAAAGGCAAACTGTTTATAAGGGTTTGGGGATGGGCGTACCCCAAGTGCACCAACAACAGCAGAAGCACGGGCGGTGCATGAGTGCCAATGCAACAAAATGCCAATGCAGCAATAATGCCAATGCAGCATCAATGCCAATGAAGCAACAATGCCAATGCAGCAGCAATGCCAAACGCTGGGGATGCGGGGGGGGGGGGGGAAATGAACTCGGAAAAACAGACTAGTACCCGGCAGATATGATGGAACCATAAACAGTTAAAGTTTTACCTGGTTAATAACATCCTTCCAAAAATCGCGATAGCTGCGACGTCTGCTGCGAGCAGCACGATGTCTGCTGCTTTGTGAAGAGAAGCTGTTACCAGCAAGAGTTTATTTAATTTTTTGAGAACACAGGTAGCCGAAGTAGTGTTAATGTGGTATTATAGTGTAAAGGTAATAAATAGCGTGGCATGTTAAAGGAAATGGACTTAGATTAGCATGCTGGATTCTAGTGCAAAGTTAATGCGCTTTCGTAGCGCATAAGAGCTCAGATTAGCATGTAGGATTAGCATATGTATTATGATGAGAAGAGCATGTAAAAGTTAATGACAAAAATAATGTCAGTCTATGTGTAACCAAGAATAGCATGTTAAAGTTTTTTTATTTTTTTTTATTTCTACCTACATGACTTTACCGAAAGAACCAAAGAGTATGGATTCCTGCAGTCACGAAAGCTTCAAATCAAGATGGATTCTATATCTCAATCTTCGACCCCCTACAGCAAAAACTTGGCAGGACCCTCCTGAATAAAAGTCATGACCCTCCGTGTGTTTCCTCAGTAAGCAAGCAAAACAATAATTGTATTGGTTCTGGGGAGATGATGGCTTAAAGCTCTGACCAGGATTTAAACTTGCATTCCCCCCGACTGACTGAAGAATAACATTCCAGTGGTGTATGCAGTAAAAGTAGCTAAAGGCAGCAATTTTCATGTGCAGCTTAATTATGAGTGTGAGACAGTTAAGATACCTTCTCTCGCAGACGATTGTGCACGTCGTTCTCTATGTTGGGATCCATATTCGCCATCAGGGCATACAAACATTTGACTGGCCACTTTGCTTTTTAACAGGCAACTTTTTTTTGCAGCCGCTTTATTTTCACTGACCACATTATTTTGATTGGCCACATTTCTCTTACAGGCCAATGTTTTTTGATTGACCAATTTTTGACTAGCCATAATTATTTTAAGCGCCAATTCTTTTGACTGGCCATATATTTTTACATGGGCCAATTCTATTGACTGGCCACTTAATGTTTTGATAGGCCAATGTTTTTTCTGGCCACATATTTTTCGCTGGCCACTTCATTTTGACTGGCCATATATTTTTTCATGGGCCAATTCTATTGACTGGCCACTTAATGTTTTGATAGGCCACTTTTTTTCTGGCCATATATATTTTTATGGGCCAATTATTTTGACTGGCCACTTAATTTTTTTATTGGCCATTTTTTGTGGCCACATCTTTGTTGATTGGCCATACATTTTTTCATGGGCCAGTTCTTTTGACAAGCCACCTTATTTTTTGATAGGCCATTTTTTTATTCTGGCAATATTTTTTCATGGGCCAATTCTTTTAACTGGCCACTTAATTTTTGATTGGCCATTTTTTTTCGTGGCGACATTTTTTTGACTGCCCATATATTTTTTCATGGGCCAATTCTTTTGACTGGCGACTTTATTTGTTGATAGGCCACTTTTTTTATTCTGGCCATATATTTTTTTATGGGCCAATTCTTTCGACTGGCCAATTTATTTTTTTGATTGGCCATTTTTTTTATTCGCCACATATTTCTTAACTGGCCATATATATTTTTAATGGCCCAATTCTTTTTACTGGCCAATTTATTTTTTGATTCGCCATTATTTTTAGTGACACATTTTTTGCTCAATTCCTTGTTAAATGTTTTGGTTTTCAGCAGATGGCCCAGTATCAGCAGATGGCTTCCATTACAGTAAAACTCTATCCATATTGTAATCCCACGAACAAATCCATCAATGTTAAATTTCATGTAAATTGAAGATATCTTAAAAATAAACCTACAAAGCACATATTGGGGTTGTCAGGATTGCAAAGTTGACGCTGTGGGTTGGGGGTGGTGAGTGGGGGGCATAATAACTTGCTTTAATTTTAACATAAATATATTAATTGGAAAACCCAGGATGTATAAAGTAGGAACGCAATATAATGAATAACAAACATAGTTAAATACGTTTTTTTTTACAAGACGAGGAAGAAGAACATTGAAACAATATAAAATCACGTTTTATTAGTTTGAATTGCTTATAATAACAATACTTGGATTATATTTAATGTAGATTCATAAGCCACCATTTTTTACACAATATCCATTACAGTGGACACCCAGAAGTGAACTGCCACAAATGAATGAAAAACAATGATCAGAAATACATAACATATATTATTTAGCAGGAATAAATCCTATTCGTCGGAAATGCAAAGCTAATGATTGGATAAACAGCATTAAAAGCGCCCCTCCACGCACTGAGTATTTTCACATGAATTTTAGAACTTAACATTTTATAATAGGGGTTTTCCCTTTTTTTCTGGCAACAAAACTGAAACCTTTTTTACAAGGATTAATGTCTGCATTAACCACAATACCTGCAGTCAAAATGCAAACAAAAAACATACTATATTATATTCATTGTCCTTGAAACTGATTGTTACAAATGTCACAATTTTCAATGACAGTCCGTTTAAAAAAAAATGAAATAACTAATGTATGTAACGTCCAATAATAATAATATAAATATTCCAACAATTTATAACTTTATACCAAATATAGTTATAGAATACAACCATGTTCAAACCTGGAGCTTAATGTTCGTCAATACTAGAATGTATTTAATTAATTGATCTTTGACAGCACAATACGCTGGAATAAGAAAATAATTAACTTTAATTACGTGGAATCATGTATCATATTGAACTCATTACACATCTCAATCATGACTTGAATCCAGGAATTTAGAATAAAGTACTACTTTAGCTATCTGATGCATTAGGAAACATTACCTTGGACAATCCAGCTAAACATTTTTATGACGTTACTCCTTATGGAACTTCACTCTACTGTCATTTCATTCCACTGGTATGCATCATGAGATTCAGTATTCTCAAATGCACTGGGGCTTGCAGTGGTAATGTGGTATTTTTTCTTTTTTCAATATGATCAGAGCAATTGAACATGGGGATGCACATTGACACTTTGAAGGGAAATGTATTTAGTTCGTTTGTTCATGCCATCTTCATTAATATAATTCAATATAATTAACTGTCCGTACATGTTGCAGATGGGTTCACAACATTTAAACCAGAATAAAATCCATATTAAACAAATGAAGTTGATCCTGTTAGGTTGTAGATGTATGTTGGGATTAAACCGCAATGTATGTACATGTGACGATTATCATGAACACAAACCATATAAAGTAGTGTTGAAGTCTTTATGAACGTTGGAAAGATTGTGAAGCTGAATGCTAATGCATTGAAATCACATTTCTTAATGTTTTATTTGTAATTACTTAGTACTTTATGTTCGTTATATATTTATTTGTGGATATCATGTATTCATAATATACGATTTATTTACATGTAAATATGTGAATTTGTTTAAAAGCTACATTGATTTAAGTGTACATGCATGCTGTAGAGAGTGAACAGCTTTGGTGTTATTGTGCAACTGATAGCAGACAGAAAGACAAACCCAGTGCCATTAATGGCAAGTTCCATATAAATCTGTCAATAGTGTCTCTTATGTCAACTCAACATAAAATGAGTGCTTTACTGGTGGGTAAAGGTCAGCAGTGAGGAGACAAATGCACTTCGGTATGCTGCTGACCACACCACCTATTCATTGCGAGTATTTGAATCATTATAAATGGAAGTAATCCTTGTTTTATATTGATTCTCTAGTTTGATTGTGAATCCAATGAAGGTATATGTGATTTATGCATTATGCATAGGAAAGCCTAAATCTAAGTTTATTTTTTATTCAGACTCCTTCTCATAACTAATTTATTTTTCGGGTTTAATTATTATTCCCTCATTGGGGAATGAATTAAATTAGTTATATTTCTTCCATTATGATGATGTAAACATGTAAATAGTTCGGGATCATTTACGAGGCGGCACAGAAACAATCTCAAGTGCTACATCTTTATGGTGAAGAAAGGTCACTTCTAAGATTTAACGACTCGAATTATCAGATACAAATAATCAGACCAAATATGGAAAGGTCTATGGAATTCTAATTAAAGTGGGATTTCTCTTATCTGTGGTGATATGGGGGCGATATTGTGCATCTTGTTTTCATTTATTCCAAAAAAATAACTCATCTTATCCACACAAGTATCCATAGATGCATGCAGATAACGGGAGGTATTTTCAACAAATTCTTAGTGAATCTACTTCTATCTTCTTTGGTTCTTTCGGTAAAGTCACGTAGAATGAGAATAAAAGGCCGCTTGTGTTGTGGCCGAAACGTCGTTAGAATATTATTGTTATTTTATCAATTTATTATTTTATTCTCATTCTACGTGACTTTACCGAAAGAACCAAAGAAGATGAATCCTTGCAGTCACGAAAGCTTTAAATCGAAATCTACTTCTACATTAAATGTCCGGCTAATAAGAGGAATTTAGCGTTTGTGGGGACCACTTTTGGGTAACTCACAGCCTCGATTAAATACTGTCAATAGGGGAATTTCTGATCAACAACTATAATCTGTGCACACATGTAGATAAAAAATAAATTTGGAAAGAGTGCAGAAGTAGAGTACTGTCGAGTGATGTGCCATCATAATCACCATCATTACAATCATCATTATGAATCAATCATTATCAATCAAGGAAAATAGAGTTGCGCTAAGTGGAATATTGCAGGAATGCAAGTCTATGGATAATTGTGAGGCGTGTCAAGATGCTGCACAGAACACTGGTAATGTATGTATATTCTATCGGCATTCAGAAAAAAATCCAGGGTGTTGAGGCCTGGACTTGAACATGGGCAGGCAGGTAGTCGATAGTACGAAATGCTGCTGGAAATAATACGACAATATGTGGCAGCAGTGATCGACAATCTGCTGAGCAAAGGTTGACTGGGGGCTTCAACAGCAATGTAGGGAGAGGAGGTCGGAAAGGGAAACTTCATAGATCATCTGGAAAATGGTGCATGTGATTTTTAATATATCTGGGACTGGATTAAGAGTTAGTGGAAGTATTGTGGCATCAAGAGTGATATAGTTATGTTTATGGGTGCAGGTGAGGAAGATTGTCATTGTATTAGACATAGGAATTATTTGCAAGGAACGAGTGGAATCAGGCGAGAAGTCTGCTGGAGATACTGCCACACTTATTGGGGTATTGAAGAAAGTGATATCAAAAGTGGCAGAAAGGTCTCAGAGAATTATTACCGAAAATTATCTATGGTCGAAAGAAAATAGGTTTAACACATGTAGGAGATGGCAGTTTATGTTGAATGGCCTTGGTAGAAACCAGATTCCACTGGGTCGTGGAGACCATGGATAAATAGGTGTTTGGAAAGGTGGGAGAAATAATATTTTACAGTAATTTTCCAAGGAAAAGAAGGTTTGACAAAGGATGGATGTTTACAGATATGTTGGGGAGTATTGTGGATTTTTTAAAGAATATCAATGGGAGCAACAGACTTGAGATTTAATAAAATGCTACAAAATGAGATAGAGGTATTGTTAAGGATAGTAATAAGGCCAGCTGTTCATAATCACCAAATGATAGCATAGTGGAGAAATCTGCGTTCTCGGTATGCAGGTGAGAGTTACAGTACTGTTAAGAGATTTAATGTCTTTAGGATGATTTGCAATAAGATTATTAAGTCAGTCAGGGTAATTATAACCTGAAGATCAGTCACTTGTAAACTATGAACAAATTAATCTAGGAACATCTGATAGTTATGGAAAAAAGCATTTAGTTAAGATGGAAAAAAGCAGTACTTTGTCATTGTGTGATGCTGTAGTTTTGTATTGTCAACTGTAATTGATCACTTACTTGCCTTTGGCATATACGTGGCCCTTGGTGGAAAATGTAACGCCAAAATGCAAGGAATAAATGAATGATTGTGATGAGCACAACGTCATTACTACTTTTGCAATACCTTTTTCACTTTTACAAATAAGATAAAAGTTTATCTTTGATGGTGTTATGCAGGCGATCATAACACTTAGCATTTCCTCCTGATTGTGTGCCAAGGGTTATTACTGTCCAAGTATTACATATCAATTTCTTAACTATAACACACATTATAATGGCTTGAGCATCCATAGCAGTTTTCATTTTATCTTCACACAATTGCAATTTGGGTTTCGACGTTTCAAAAAAACTAAAACTAGGGTGCTTAAACTTCCCTATGGTAGGTGACGACCATGCACTAAGTGTGAAGAACAGACTAGTCGTATCTGCTGGAAGTTTATTAAGACACACATTGATGACATGATGTCCCTGAGCTGCATTGTCATCCATAATATCTCCAGAATGTGTAATGCCAGGGAATGATGTGTGACGATAATCTACAATGCCTGCTTCCGATTTCCCTTGATATACAAGCACAGAGGCATCCAGATAATCTCTGCCTCTCGATGGATATCCCCAGTACAGATCTAAAGTGACTTCATTCATTTTTTCTGGAATTGCAAATAGAAGAACTATCAAGTGAATCGTGCTATTGGGTTTTACACCAAAATCGCTTAAGGTGGTATCTGATCCATCTTCTTTCTCGAGCTGCAAAACACAAAAAGAAAAGAGTGACGTATTGAATTTAAGTGAAATTGTAGTTTATAAAGTATGTAAATCATTTAAAAAGGCATTTAAGTTTATTTAAATGTTGTATATTTACACATACACAAATGACTAATAACCGTAAATACATGAACATGTTATATTTATGTATACAACAATGGCCATTTGCAACAAAATGGTGGCAAAGACACAAATACGCTTTTGCAAAGTTAGGTGCACTTTGAAGACACTTCAAACACCAAAGGTCTCCTGGCAGGGTGTCTTGGGACAGACCCAGGTGTAAAGAGTTAATTGATTATATCAATGGAAAATGTACAAACTGTGCTACCCATTTTGCCAAATTGCACAGTAGTCTCCAATACATTTTGAGAATTTCTCCTCCGATTCTTGGTATGCTTCACGGGTTCTCTTTACAGGAAACGATCATTCCGCCTTGGAACCTATCATTTTGCTCACTCAGACCTCGTGGCTTCATGGTCAGCAGTCCATCGGCCTGGAACTCACTCCCGTTGCACATTTAAAACTATTCTCATACATTTAACCAGTTCAGTAGAAAATGCAAGACAGAACTATTTCAAAATGCTTACAATGTTTGAATACTGCACTCTCGTGATAACCTAAGTTCTAATATTTGCACGTATATAATTTTACATACTTACTCTGAATTATATGTAAAAAGGAGGGTGTTGTGTCCATGATTGTCAATAGATTGTCACCTGCCTATAACAGACTTTAGGCTTTCCCTATCGGGTCCTCTAATGCTTTTAATGCTCCTGTTTTTGTTTGATGATGGCCAGTGGTTATATTGTGAGAGCAATTAAAAGGGAGGAAAGCGGGCACCCTTGGTATGTACCACGACTTAAAGAGAAAGGATGGGCGATCCAACCATTAGTGCAATGGTCACCTGAGGGAAAATATAGGGAACTTGCATTGGTTCATAAACTGATCTGGAAATTATTATTTTGTTCGGGAGATTGCGTCGATGAGTGACCAGGCATTATATGCGATGTCTCACCTTTTATGAATCCCGTTTGGGAAGGGTGTATTGAGTCAAACAGCAAGGATTCCAGTCTCAATGGGAGAGCTTTAGTAAAACTTTAATAGTCAAGTGTTCAACAGTAACATTGCCTATAGCCTCTATTCTCTGTCAGAGTTACACCTCTCTTGTAGATTAGTGTTATTTTCTCTTTCCTCATTAAGGGAGGTACCATAGCCTGTTTTACCGAGTCTGCCAGGGTCTGGCACAGCGATTTGAGTAAAGTAGGGCGAATGGCCTTGTAAAAATCCACTGGGAGACCATCGGGCCCTGGTGTCTTTCACGTAGGAGTGCAGCTGAACGCAACAGCTTTGTGCTTCTCTGAGACTGGGTCACGTAATACCTGTGCTTTGTCATGACCAATTTGAAGGAGAGATAATTATTCCAAGAAATCATGTATAGAAGCTCCTGTTCAAAAGTCTGCGGGGTAAACGGCTTCATTGTACTTATAAAATTGTTCATTAATTACAGTGGTAGTCTTATGAAACAAACGACAATTTATATTCTTGCTTCTTTCAGTAAAGTCACGTAGAAGGGAAACAATAAAATACGTGACTTTACCGAAAGAACCAAGAATATGAATCCCTACAGTCACGAAATCTTTAAATCAAAATTTAAACGACAATTTGTGAAGAAAAGTGAGCTTGGGCAGGACACTTCGCAAGAATGAATTAGTACTGACAGACGAAATTAACGTCAGATTGGCACCCAATGGAGTAAACACACGCTCCAGTAAAAATGGAGCGATGAAATCAACTAAGTGCTAGCATGAGATGGATGGCAATGCCACGGAGAACCTTTTGCTTAATAGTGGATAGATAATAGTGAATTATTATGAAATGTAGCACGTGTATTTAGTTAGACTTAATGTGTTAGGTACGACTCTTGGAAAATGCTTGACATGGGTTCATATAAAAAGTACTTACCATCAATTCCTTTTCACCATAAATGAGTTTTTGTTTTTTGATGTCATAATTGTAGATTTTTTTTATACGTGAGCAAACATCCACAATCTTCATGCTTGGATCAAAAGGAATTGACATTTTATCTCCATTGAGAAGAGCAATGGACAACACCCCACCACTGCATTCTTGGGATGCATCAGCCAACTCAGGTGTTAAGGATTCATATGTGTACAACAGGGCTTTCAGTCGAGATTTTAGATCCTCAAGAACAGGGCCCGTCACTGGACTGGAGCATTTATTTTCAGAATATGAACATTTGTTTTTTTTCTCAGCCACTTCAATAACACACTGTAAAATAATAAAATAAATATGTTATTTACAAACAACATGTGCAAGTTAATGATTTTGCATAGCATATAACTTATTGTGGCTAAATTAATGACGAACACTTGTTATATATGGAAAAGCTTCACTATGTTTAACCCCAAACAGCATTCATGTTATAGTGTAACTATTGTTATTGATGGAAGTCACAGTAATTTTACATGACGTTTGGGAAGCACAAATAATTAGGTGTGCAGTTTATATAAATATAGCAAAACATGTTTTTGGATTATGGGTGAAATGGATGTTGAGTAAAGAGATAAAATCATACAATTGTACGATCGAAAATATAAAGACAATATATTTGTTAATGCTTTTGATAATTCTATATATTGTATTTAGTCCTTGTTTTGTGACAACTACACTGAAATTGCAAATACGGATGAAAGAAAATAAGAACAGAAGTCAGGCAAGGAGAGTCGCTCTCGACAGGCTATTTCGAGCTACCTTTTATAAAATAGTGTCCGTTAATTGGATTAGAGAAATAAAGGTATACACATAAAATGGAAACCAATTAACATATCAGATATGCTGATGGAATAGTCATTATGCGAACTGATGGGAATTAACCACATGCATGATTGAAGCTGGGCTAAATATTAATGAGTCATTTAAAATATCGGTAAAAAAAACAACAACAAATCTTTGAGGAACACAACTGGTAAACATAGCAGTCTTTATTCTATATCAGTTAATGAAGGCAGATCGGAGCAAAATGATAAAACAGAGGCAATCAAGAACAGGTTTCAGTGATTTTTGAAAGTTGCATTTTATGAAAAACAACCTACCAATGTGTCTAAAGAGGAATGATTTCCATCAGTGAATATCACCTGTTATGACATATATCTGAAACATAGACACTGCCTAAGAAAACTGAAAAGTTGAAAGGTATACAAGAGATGCAGAGGTCGACTGGGAATTACACTCGGAGACATTAAGAGAAACGCTTAGCTCAGTGAATAAAAACAAATTAGTGACATCATACGAAATGTGCTTGGGAAGGAAAATTATTTATCATATTTATCTCTAAAGCCTACGGAGGGTGTAGTGATTCCACCACACTCCCAGATCAGAATGATATTTATTTATACTGGAGGAATCCGCTATAAAGTCCTTTTTCATAAATGTCCAGTAGGGGCAGGTAAGAACGTTACAACAATGCCATCATGATTGCCCTTGTGAGCGATTATTTGCGTCACCCATCATCACAGTGATGGACAGGCATGCCTTTATGGGGGCAGACACCATTCTGCACTGGCGGAGCCAGTGGCGGGGGGGGGGGCACGTGCCCCCCCAATGATCTGATCGAAATCCCTCATTTCGATCGGATCATTGGGGTTTATTAGTAATAAATCGGCATTTTGCGACCCCCACTGCCACTGTGTAGCATATTATATGTGCCATGGACTCGATGAGATGATAGGACAATAGAGTCCATAATTGGCAATAACGGCAAAGCAGTTATAAGTGACTAACAGAATTGCGTGCAGTCGCGTATACAGTACACGACTTCCCTGAAGGCATACCTTCAGCGAGCGCGTTGCCGATCACACACGGTTTCTGTTTTGACTTTCGATCGATGACTGCGCAATCGCCGCACACGCGTCGAATTAAAAGCAAGGGACAAGTCATTACTTACTAACGACTCCTATCATTTTTCATTGATGGAGGGGTTGCCCCCCCTACCTGAAAATCCTGGCTCCGCCATTGCCATTCTAAGGATAAATCGACCACTCATATTTCAGGTTTTAAATGCCTCGTAATCATTTGTTGTTTTTCAATGTTAACATAATATTGGTGCATTTCATTCCCAAGGTTCGGATTGAACCAGGTGTAATTGCAAATAAGCCATTGGAAGTGCCTGTACAAGCAGAGTGTAGATCAGAGGATGATGTTGACTGTCTTCGTCTCTGTGTGCTTACACCGGAGCAATGACACGAGTTTGGGGAAGTGTTGCACAAATATAGTGATGAATTTTGTTAAATGGGGCCCAAGCTGTGCCACTATCTCTGTCTCTCCAACCTACAATCCGGAGGACATAAGAACAAAAAATGAACCACTTGCTAACAATGAAACGAGTACACTATCTTTGGCATAAAAGTAGGAGGGAACATGAGCAGCACCTTGCCTTGAGCAAATGGGATACGAGAAAGCGATCAGTTTAACACGTAGTCTTTCGCAACCAGTATAATAAGAAATATAGTTTTTTTAGTTAAATCTTGTAGAAAGCAATCTTATAAGCGATCATATAAGTACTTTTAACTCCCCACTCTCCTGTCTGTCACTGCCACCATAGAAAGTGTCTTGAGCATCAGTGGACTCAAGTCACACAATGACAGAGGTTCAAAAGCTGGCATGTAGAGACTACACTATTCTAAGCCAATCCCACGAGGCCACTGACCTCACCGGGGATGGGTGCTGTAGGGCCCACACATTCAGCAGTTGCTTCATAACTGGGTTACTACCTAAAGGCAGGAGTTTACCCTGCTATTGGCGGACTACCACCATGGTTTCTTGAAATCTCAGAGACCACTGAGTGACCGAGATGGAACTCATCCAATGAAAAATAACTCCTCTTAACGATGGTAATTGGTTCCACGAAACCAGTCGTTAAGTGATTTGTTGTTAAGCGAGTAGATGTCTCCACTTCAAAGCGCAGCAGGTATTGAATGTACACAATGCCCCAATGCTCAATAATGGACGTCGCTGATTGGTGACGTCCATTAATGCTCTTCGTAAGCCCGCCGTTAACAGGGAAATGATAGGTAAGTGAATACATTGGGCTCTATGGAGGCCCGTTGTTAAGCGATTAGCCGTTAACAGGGGTGGTCACTTAAGAGGGGTTCTACTGTAGATGCTCTATGTGGGTAAGCTCCATGTGAGCGGGTCTTCAGCCTCTCTGGTGCACCTCCAACAGGGAGAGAAGCTTAGTTCCTGGGACTTCAACCTTCCATTTTCCAGACAGTCACCTGAAAAGTGGTGATGTCTGGTGTGAAAATGTCCTTTGAAACAGCAGGTCGTTCCACGAGAGAAACCTGAGGGTAACTCCTACCCTCGGGGCCTTCTGATAAAAGTACCACGACATCTGGTCAACTGGGGGGGGGGGCACCAAAATCAGCAAGACTCTGTCCCTTCTGACCTTAGCTAAGACTTTTAGGATGAGTGGCAGCGCGGAAAATGCGTGAAGTAGATGGGCGTTCTAGAGCATGCTGAATCCATCCATCATGATGCCTTAGGAACTGGCAGCACTAGGCTGAGAGCTCGGCCGTGCCCAGTCGGCGCATACACTTGCAATGGACTCCTTGTAAAGTTCCCACTCCAGCCAGCCTCTGCTCAACTTATCTGCTGTACAGTTGTGGAGACTCTTGAGGAATAGAGCTTGCAGTATTACTGCAAGCTGTATACAGCATCTCGCAGGCCACCTATATGAGGCCTTGGAACCTCAGGGATCACTGCCAATTATTATTGGAAATGTATATAATATTGAAATATTTCGTGAGGATGAACTTCTCCGACACCTCGTATTGAAAAAGTCTGAGGGAAAATGAACAAATTAACTCTGGGAGATGCTTACCCACTATTCATGCATACCCATTACATCTATGAGTAAATTGAAGCGTGGCCAGGTGTTAGGTTCTGCTTTACTCTGCATCTGTTGTATGGGCATTACCAACACAAGTTTGATGAGCAAACATAACATAATTTGGCATTTGTCACACTGCCAAGTATTTTTTGTATATTCAATGTACGCCTGATGGGTCTACAAGCAGTGTTTACAAGCACAGTCAAGCATGGACGCCTGCCTGTGCCACTCTACTGCTACAACAACTGTTGCTTCATATACTGCCATACTACTGTAATGACATTATGGTTCCCTGGGATCATGGTTACTAATGGACGAGCTAATGATGAATGAGACGAGCTAATGATGAATGAGACAAGCATTGACAGGGTCACGTGAGGGGGAGCATGGGAACCAATGGCAGGAAAGTGTAATAAGGGCAGTGATCGGCAGGGCCTGGTGCGGTGAGGAGAATTCGGGAATAAGGGCGTGGCCGGACCGGGCGAGGATAAGTAGCAGTCCGAGCGAAGGCTTGAGGCTGCTTGGTGTGGGGAACTGCTGTCATCGTCGCCTTGGATCGGGTCGTCTCCATCGTCTGCGATTTGTGTTGAGATTGGAAGCTATGTTGTCTCAGAATAGAGTTGGGTCACTACCCAAGTATACAGAGTCACTCACGGTTATGTGTTGAGTTGTCATTGGACTTGATTCTTAATAAATATACAGAAGACAAGACGGCGTCTCTGAGAGCTAGATTACAGTGGTGTCAGAAGTGGCTATTGTAAAATGTCGAAGAAAGGAAAGCATGGGAACCCATCTGTAGCTCCTTCTTTAGAGGAGGAGGACTTCCAAGGGGTCCCCCAAGTAGCCCCGAGAGACAGGGTCCCGGTGACAACCCCGCGGGCGCGGAGGTGACGGTCGCCTCGCCTCCGCGGCCACAAGCTCTGGTGGAGTTGTCATCGCCGCCAGCGAGGGGGGAGGCGGGGGCCGCTTCTCCCCAGAGCGGCCTGACAGAAGGATGGCGGGAGCTGCGGGCTTAGGTGGATTGGCTCAGCTCGACAGTCGCTGATTTGGTGGCGTCGGTGGGCGCGGCGACATCGAGGACGGAGGTGACAGTAGATGAATTGCTCACTCGAGCGGGGAGGACAGATCGCCCACCTGTGGTGTTCCCACGCTGGAGACCACGCGGTCGGTGGCCGCCATTTGGCGGGATGCAGCGCGACTGACGGCCGCCATTTTGGAACTGGCACGAGAGGCTGTGGAGACAGCGCCAACTTCTGCGGCAAGGCGGGGTGCCGCCGATCGACCACGAAGGCTACCCCCGGTGAAGAAGTTCACAGAAGCGGGGGGAGATTGGAGTGCCTTCACCCGCCGGTTCAAGGCAGTGTACCAATCTGTCGACTGTATGGAGGAGGAGGCGTTGTGGGCCTTGCCTATGGCTCTGGATGATGATGGCCTTGCAGCATTTTGGGCCATCCCTGTAGAGAAAAGAGCTACGCTGCAGGATGCGTACAGAGAAATGGCTGCTGTATATTATCTACGTCAGCCACACGAGGAAAGTTTCTCCAGCGGTGTCGAGGGGATGCCGAGACACCCCTCGCCTACCACGGTGCGCTGATGGCATTGGGACTGGCAGCCTACCCGCGATTAAATCAAGCGGCGCTTGATTCCCTCGTTATGGAGAAGATGTTGGAGTTGGCTTCAGAGATGGGTGTCGTGCTGCCGGTGATCGACGAGGAGGCTCAGACATCCTTGTGGGCTGCCCGGGGCCTGCAAGTGCATGAAACGCTGCGGAAGCGGACCAGAGGGGCCACGTGGATGGGGAAGCCGTAGCCGGGAGACGGGTCGCTCGACTGACCATCACGGGGCATGGAGGAGCCGACGGAGGATGGCGCTGAATCTATGGGAGAGGTGTCGGCGGCGGTTCGCGGTTGGGAGCGGCTGTGAGGAGACATGCCGCGACGGAACCGAGAGTGGCGATCCCGGGCCGGGGCGACACCATCATCTTGAACGGCCAGGGCCACCTGCTTCCATTGTGGCCAACTCGGCCACTTCGTGTGGGGATGCCAAAACGCCGCTCAGACATTAATGGGGTCCCGCACATCCACCACCTCGTCGACCACTGTGTCCCAGCCCCCCCAGGCAAGTCACGACGCACCGGACACTCTGCCGCTAGCAACAAATCACACATCGGGAAACCGGGGTCTTCGGGAGACCAAATCAACCCCCGTTCATCTAGTTGGGGGTGACAGTCAGCTGGCATGGGTGACGCAGGGGTGGCCAAACTAGAACAGGCAATGGCGAAAGCTGGTACGCTGAGTGGTGGCAGCGGCGGCGGGCTCATCGGTGATCGTTGGGCGCGTACATAGAGTGGAAGTCCGTGTTTTGGTTGACATGGGTGCCTCGGCTACTATCATATCGTAGGTAATTTTTGGAACCTTGCCCTTTAAAAATCGTTGTGTAATGCCGGTGGTTAATGTGTGCGTGTCGGTGAACGGGGGTAGTATGGGGATCATTGGTCAAAAAGAAGCTCGCATCAGATTGGGAGAGATTGAAGTATCAGGGCCGGTGTTGATTTCAAGAACATTGGCTGTGGCCTACCTTTTGGGTACGGATTTTTTAAGCAGGATTCCCCTGCTGATTTTGACCGACCAGGGCCATGTTCAAATGCTGTCGGAATGGTGATTGTTTTTCCTGGATTACCCGCATCGGCGCGCAAAGCTGGGGTTGTCGGTCCAGGTTCGTTGCGTTACCGAAAACAGTTGGACCTATCAGACCTGGAGGCAGGTGTCCTCCTTACCCCGGCTTAGGCAGTGACCTGGGGGCTTACGGGCAGAAGGGTGCGCTGATGCTATTGGAGGATGGCCAGGAACCGTTCTTGCAAGTCCTCAATGTTGGGGTGGAACCGGTGGTTGTTCAGGCATGAACGGTGCTAGCCCATGCAGTGTTGACTAGGAGAGACTCACTCGATGCCACCGGGGGGACGGTGGTAGGTGGTGTGGTGAGGCAGCGGAAGCTGACGAAGCATGGATAGACAAGCTGTGCGGAGAAAACCCTAAGTTGTCCGGGGGGCAATGGGCCTAGTTGTGATCCCTCTTACGGGAAAATTCGGAGGTGTTCAGTAAGGGCAAGTTCGATATCGGGCACACTTCCCTTCTGCAACACCACATTAACACGGGCACAGCAGCCCCTATTCGACAGAATCCTTACAGATTAAGCTCGAGGGAAAAGAAAAGTGTGCAACTGGCGGTGGAGGAAATGCTGGCGGCAGACATTATTTCCCCCTCCACCTGCCCTTGGGGTGCCCCCATGGTGTTGGTAAAAAAAAACAGAAGGCACGCTGCGGTTCTGTGTGGACTTCCGCAAGTTGAATAAAGAGTGTAGATTGTGTAGTGTTACGTGTTAATGCAGAATAAATAGTGTTACTCCCAAGATAACGTCTGCGACTCAGTTGGACTCACTACAATGGAGACACTGGCACATCTTCATGAAAAATCTGAAATATATAGACCTTCGCATTGACGATGACATGAGTGAAGATCTTCTTTGGTTCTTTCGGTAAAGTCACGTAGAATGAGAATAAAATAATAAATTGATCAAATAAAATAACACAATACTATTCTCACGACGTTTTGGCCACAACACAAGCGGCCTTCATCAGGTGAAGGGACGAGACTGTCTGGAGGACATTCATTATATATTGTATTGTATACCCAGTTACTGTGAATAGCTCAGACTTCAACATAGCCATTTCTGTGACCAGTCACAAGCTAATCACTCAGTTATTTCAATGCTAAATTCGCCTAGTTATTTCAATGCTAAATTCTCCTGTTTGATTTGTACTAGGTGCCTCGGTGAATGTATATGCTCTGACTTTAACATAGCTATTTCTGTGACCAGTTACAAGCTAATCACTCAGCTATTTCAATGCTAAATTCTATGCCAATTCCTTTGTCAAGGGGTGCCTCTGCGGATGTGTATACTTTAACTTTAACATAGCCATTTCTGTGACCAGTCACAAGCTAATCACTCAGCCATTTCAATGCTAAATTATATGCTAATTCCTTTGTCAAGGTGCTTTGTTTCTTCTCACACAGCTTAAAGGTCGTGATTTGAGCGTGGCTTTTTCACTCCAGCGCTGTCCTCCAGACAGTCTCGTCCCTTCACCTGATGAAGGCCGCTTGTGTTGTGGCCGAAACGTCGTGAGAATATTATTGTGTTATTTTATTTTATCAATTTATTATTTTATTCTCATTCTACGTGACTTTACCGAAAGAACCAAAGAAGATGAATTATTGCAGTCACGAAAGCTTTAAATCGAAATGAGTGAAGATTTGTATATTTGTAAGTTCACTGTTGTCACGTACTTATATGCTTCCATGTCTGTAAACTCTGCCTTTGCCAACCTACACGGACCAGCATGGTGAAGTATTGTCATAGGTAACAACAGCGGTAAGTGATGTCTGAACTGGTCCTGGTTGCTTCTTTACCACTTTGCACCCTGCAGCATGAAGTATTATTTAAAAACTCCATGTTCACCACAGCAAGGAGGGGAAAGGAAATATCTTCATACATTCAATTACAACGTTTTCTGAATAAAAAATATTTCTCGACCTAAAACTCACAATATTAAACCTGAAAACGCAACTCTATTACATTATGAATTATTACTGATACCATGTGCAGGAGCATATCCATAAACACTTCTAACAAGTTGTTTTGGAAGATCACATTAAGATAGTATTATTCCATACTAGTAGACATTTTCAAAATCTGTTCATCAGCATACAATGCCTTAACTTTCTTAGATGTGTTCAGTTATTGTTGTAACCATTTCAACAATTCCATATGTCATATTCCACTATAATAGAAAGGTTTTCAGGATCTCGGAGGATTTTTTTTTTACATTTTGCACAATGCAAATGACAAAATGCAACCTAATGATTTCTAAAACGGTGAAAGTCAGTTTTACACAAAAATGTCTGTCATGCCACCACATTGGAGTAGATTCAGTGCTCTCTAATTAGGATGTAGGCAAATAAAATAACATCTATGATTGAGCCAAAAATGAAATCATGAAATATTAGTACACTCTATAAACCTCATTTGCAAGAATCGTTTACCTTTAAGCAATGCAGATTTGCATGATCACATGTCTCTGCCAGAGGTACTTGTGGAAATTCCCTTCTAAGCTTCTCAATTTTACATTTTAAGCACCGCATTTCCACGGAATCCTGGAAACAATATTGACCATGCACACACAAATAAGCTTAATGCAATAAGACATTCATGTATATAATTCCATTACCCACAAAACACATTTTAGAATGTATACACAACTAATAATAATAGAGAAATGTTACAGATATTGCAGAACGTGTATTTGCACTGGTGTTGCAACATGGTCTTTGAGGCATCAGTTTCCAGTGGCAATCTCCCCTATGTTAGTTTTACCCCAAAAGGTTATTTTTTGTATTTAAAACAAAAATTGTGTCACGTTAAAACATATCCAGGGACGATCTGGCGAAACGGGTGATAATACTGGTAGTACAGCACATCAGTGAAGGCAATGTGAACCAGTCGCGCCCCCCCTCCCCCCCCCACACTTTCATTAAAACACAGTGTCCCGCATTATCGAACATGTCTGTCCTACGGCGTGGAGAGGACTCCCTAAAGCAGTGGCTTGATAAATGTACGTATGTTGAACTTATTTCGCACCGTACGTAGCCAACCATGCTAAACGGAGGTGCGGGGAACGCCAAACATTTTTACACAAAAAGTAGTGCTAAATAAATTAGTTTGCAATCTAGAATGTGAATTGTCTTTATTTGTAAACGCTTCAATGTTCCTTTAAAATACATTAATTCCCCGCGTCGCATCCGTTGTATATCTATAGTTCGGCCCATCGACGGGAAATCAACCGAATAGCGAATACAACAAATGAAAGCAGTTTATAGAACCAACAATTGAAAATAACCTATGTAATTCATAGCAGTGATTATCACACCTTTTTCAGATGATTGTTGATAATCCAGTTAACGCAGGTGAAAATTCCACAGACGTGTAAGCCTTCTTCAAAAACACAGGCAAAGAGAGATATATGTAGAGTAAATTAATGTTTTACTTACGTGACTCCGAACAGTATATTGTCCAGCAGAGTAAACAGAAACCCCGTGTGTCAAGTTCCGCCTTTTGATAAACGTGACGTGGCCATTCTTACGCATTTTTTCGGAAATGTTGCTTAAGATTTTTTGCGTAATTTCTCGGAATAACAAACGTCACAGGACACAGCCAATCAGTGCACGGGCACGAATCAACGCATTCCTCTGTACGTTACCCCGGACCGCCGATGAATTATTAATTAGATCATTATGTCAAAACCGGGTACACTTCCTCGGCCGGTGCTGCTGCTGTGTGCGTTCTCACTCGTAAGTGCTTTCCAGTATATATGTGTAGAAGATGTCTCACCCATCCTCACACATTCGCAGACCAAGCAAGGTTGACCGAATAGTGTTGGCCAAGCCACCCACTACGAAGGAGGAATTATGATCGTTTTTTAGACTGGTGGGATATTACCAGAAATGTATCCCAAATGTTGCTGACACTGATGGACATAACTAGTCAAAGAAAACCCAATATATTGAGTGGACTGAGATGGCAAAGATTGCTTTCGAGAAAGGGGCCGTCCATAAATGACGTCACACACCTGGGGGGGGGAGGGGGTCAGACTTTGTGACGATGTGTGACGAGGGGGGGAGGGGGGGGGGGTTTGAGAAATTAGACGTCACATCAAAATGCGCAACTTTCTACTTAATTAAATATAATTGTTATAACAACACTAATTTAGATACATTTTCATGATTAACTATTTGATTATTTAAATTTACTAAGGTCACCTTTTATTTATTCCATGAAGGAACATTTTGCTTCTCCATGGGAGAATGGAGGATACATTTTGTAAATTTTTTGAATGATTGTTATTAAACATTTTGAATTGAATGATTCTACCAGGGCTTTTCATTCTGTGGAATGAATATGTGATTGTTATAAGTGTACTCTCCATTTTGCTTCGTTCTACTACAAAGTTTCAAGTATGTTTTTATAGTTAGAATTACTTTTAATATTTTATAATTATAAGAGAATTTCAATATAATATTCTGAACATCTGCAGTTTTAGTTAGACGTTTAATATTTTAAAGTAAATTTTATGCAGAATTTCAGCTTTCCAACGCCACCTTTTTAATGCATGTGTAGTGGGTACAAACTTATAGGAGACTTCCTCTTGGAGGCGACACGTTTATTAACAGTAAACGCAATAACAGTTGTCCCTGACACAAAGGGGTACGGCCCTTCCACCCGCTATCCAGGCTAGCGTGTCCTATTCAACTCGGGACTACGCTCTCTATCGGGTCCTCCGCTATCGGGACCTAGGGGAGGCTATTCTGACCCGACCTTGCCAGGGTCTCCGGGTCTCACCCCTGGCCCACTTGAACCCGGCTCTGACAAGAGCCTCTGTTGAGTGGTCCCAGGGCTCTAGACTTGAGATGTCTTCGGTTCTTCGAGTGGACGACAACTGCCGGTCCCGTTGAGAGGACCAGCTTTTATACCCCGAGTCGGGGCTCACTCCGCCCCTAGCCGGGGTCCACCCCTCCGGTCACGAGATACCCAGGGGGGGTTACCTTGGCTTAACTGCCACTCAACCTACTAAGCCTCCCATCCACCCCCTGTTAACCTATCGGCGTAGTAGCAGGCTAACTTTCACTTAGCGCTTTAATAATGGCGCTACACATGTTTCTCCTACAACATCAGAGTGCATCACCACATTAAATAAGCACTACAATGACAATAGTTGAAAGTTATTTGAAGCATGTTTGGGGGGGGGGGGGTAGAGCTTTGTGACGTCATATTTGAGGGGGGGTCTGATTTTTTGTGATGCCGTGTGACGAAGGGGGGAGGGGGGGTTATAAATCGGCCAAAATCGCGTGACGTTATTTATAGACGGCCCCAAACTAAAAACTCGCCTTGCCAGTTGAGATCTCAAACACAACTGTCGGCAGTGGCAGAACATGCTTGTCAACAAGGACACTCAATAGATTTTTACAATGTTGCAGTGGTGTGTAAAACTAATTATTACTGGCAAAGACTAATTAGAGAATCCATTGAAATTGAGAGGAACAAGAATAACTTTAATCGCTCTGACAGCTACAGGCTTAGTGCGGCCTGGAAGCGTATTATTAAATAATACACATTACATTTTGATTTAAAGAATTACTAATCTACAACTCATTACTAATCATAACCAATGACTGATTACTAATCGATTATATAATTACAATACCCCCCTCCGCCTCTAATCACTGCACCTGATATGAGTTAAGTGATGGCGTTACCCTGCTGCTCTATATAAAACCGGGAGCAAGCGAGGGCTTTACCATTCTGGCGAATTGCCCGATGATGCTGGATGTATTTACCAGCGAAACGTCGTACTCAAACTGTAAATGTGGATTCACTCTTCAACACACCGGTGGGCTAAAGTAGTGAATTATGTGTCTTTTTGTCAACGTGACACTTTTTTTGCTGATTGGCCGTGTCAGGTGGTGGAGGGTTACGACACATTTATAAATAAACGCGATCTAACCCAAAAACCTTTATTATGAAGGGAAACCATTCATCCTACACACTGATGCATCAGACAGGATTGGGAGGCAACCCATAAAATGCCCCTCATGTAGTAATGGTTTTTGAGCAATAAAACACTACTCATGAATGGCACTGAAATTGTACAACCCATAATGCATTGAGATTACATTTTGACAGCAGATTCAATCGGCCGTTTTGAGAGGCACAAGGTATTTTCTCAAAGTAGAATCCTTTTGATGTGTGGGCCTAAAGACAGGTGTCAGTATAATTTAATACAGTATATATAAGAAATATATATGTAAAGAATGCTATATAAAAATGCACACGATGGAAACTGGTTTAAAATTATGTGAATGTGAAAAGCAATAGAGATAATCGTATTTAAAAATACGCATTTAAACCTATTTATACAATTGTTTATTAAAGTTTGTTCATTTATAAAATGGATTCTTAAAATGTATTGTATGATTATTTTTATGCTGAGTGTCTGCTGCTGCTGTGGCCTGTACATTGCTTTCAGATCATTGATAAAAGGTGCTCTATAAATTGCATTATTACTGTATATTTACTGTTCAGGCATGTCTCGCTTAACGACCGAGATACGGTCCACAAAAATTGTTTGGTAAGCAAAAACTCGTTAAACAATAATCGTTAAAGGCCGTATCTGAACGTGGCTCTTTCACTTCAGCGCTGTCCTACCAGACAGTCTCGCCCCCTTCACCTGATGAAGGCCGCTTGTGTTGTGGCCGAAACGTCGTGAGAATATTATTGTGTTATTTTATTTTATCAATTTATTATTTTATTATCATTCTACGTGACTTTACCGAAAGAACCAAAGAAGATGAATCATTGCAGTCACGAAAGCTTTAAATCGAAAAATAATCGTTTTACCATTGACCCCCATGTCAAAAACTGAACTACGTTTCATCCCCAAAATGTACCACTCTTGGACAACGTTTTTTTTAACGTGAGAAAATACTAATCATAATTTGAAAATAAAGTAATAACATCAAGTGTAACATGACACATGAAGAACCACAGTGCAAGATTCCCCGTATAGCTTTAACATATTATTGGGGCAAGTAATGTTAGCGAGCACTTGGTGCTGGGTGGCCAGCTTCAGATAATCGTCACTGGTGTTGGCCATGAGTGGGAATCGAACAGAATCACTTGGTTCATAGCGCCACCCAGCCATTACAGTGCTACCACGAGGACCCCTTCCCCCACATGGCTAAGCACGCGCACTCAGCACAGCTGGTAAACAAACAGCTGCAGGCCACAGTGCGCCCCCTGCCATCACGGTACACATAATATCTATCGGGGTCCACTCGTAAGGCAAACATTTTTTCCCGTTTTGCGAACAAATGCGTCTAAATTTAAATTGCTCGTTATAGTGAGTTATCATAGAAAAAATGCTCGTTAAGCGAGCCACGCCTGCAATGGTATAGATATGTGCGATATGCTCGTATTAGCCAACGATATATTGACTGCAGTTATTTTATATTTTACACGAATCGAAAAATGTTTAATCTTGATTTGAAGCTTTCATGACTGCAGGAATTCATACTATTTGGTTCTTTCGGTAAAGCCACATAGATAAAAAATATAACAACGAATAAATCACGACGTTTCGATAGCAACACAAGCCATCTTCTTCAGGTGAAACAATACAGCAGGCGGACTGCTGAGGATGAAATGTAGCGAGAGAGCTACTGCAACCAAAGATTATATACGTTTGTGGTGGGTACAACCCAAGGGTAAGTGGGCGGGACTAGAGATGGAATTTGCAATTGAATGTAATTGCAAAGAAGGTAGGGGTGGGGGACCTCGGTTAATCCGAGGAGGGGGGAGGGGGGGCTGCCGCAACGGGCGAGAGGGTGGGGGTGAAATGTACAGAGGGAAAAAGGTGATAGAAAAAAAGAAAAAAGATATCAAAATGTAGCAAACTTAGAAATGTAATGCAACTCAGAGTCAGCCAACACAACAGTTAACACTATACCTGGTTGATCAAGGTCTTTCCAAAGATTGCAAAATTTTGCATCCATCTTCTCGTTTGAAGTCATGTCTGAGTTGTGTGGAAATCCTCCCCATAGAGGTGGTTCAATCTTGATTTGAAGCTTTCATGACTGCAGGAATACATACTCTTTGGTTCTTTCGGTAAAGTCATGTAGATAGAAAAAATAACTAATAAATCACGACGTTTCGATAGCAACACAAGCCATTATCTTCAGGTCAAACAATACAGCAGGTGGACTGCTGAGGAGGAAATTAAGCGAGAGAGCTACTGCAACCAAAGGTTACATACGTTTGTGGTAGGTATAACCCATGGGTAAGTGGGCAGGACTAGGGATGGAATTTGCAAGTGAATGTGTAATGGTTCAATAGAGGCACACACCCTCGTGTGGAGGCAACACTATTTATATAACACACAACTGTTACACACACTATACATAGGGTGGTGACCACCGTCCTAGTCTCACTAACACTCGGGTACTACTTGGCGTGGCCAAGCCAGGAGGGCTTTTGCTTGGCCACGACGACTTTGGGCTTCAGTCTTCATGAGGCATCTTTATCCTAGGCACGAACCGCCCTGCTCCTTCAGCGGCGCCCGCTTATGAGCTCCCCGGCATGGCCGGCCACACCCCGGCCACGTCGCCCTTCTCAAACCCTCGAGAAGGCTCCAGACCCCAACCACGTGACCCCAAGGTAGCCCCTGGCCCCCACCTTGATCCGGTCACGTGTCCAGCCGGGGTCACTCAGAGTGCCATGGCTTGCCACGACCCCCGTGGCACTCGTCAACGGCCTCCGCACTGCCCGACCCGGCAGTGACGTCATCCAAACCGACCCGACATGGTAGTGATATCATGTGTGTACAGACCCGACATA